ATGTAAAACTTAGGTGTAGTGTAAGAAACTAAAGTAGGAAGGGGACAAAAGAAATGGGTGAAAAGCAAGGGAAAAACGGTTGTTAACAGAGGGTAAAATTTAATGCAGTGCAATCCTGTCAGATTCCTGGAACCTGGATGAGTCCTATCTCCTCCTCTCATTCAGTGTCCTGTTTCTTGCTGTAGTCTGTACCAGTATAGACTGTATAGTCCAAAAATTGACTGCTGAAAGCTCCAGACCATATTTCAGGCCGTATCATTTCTTGTTTTTGTTTGGTGAATAAAAGAGGTTGATGAGAATTGATGCACATGCACTCATTTAATCCCAACAAACAAATGCCTCTTCTTCCTTGTGGGTCACTCCATCTTGACCCACTTCTGACTATAATTTTCGTTTCTCTTGATATTTCATTTTTCAGTTTCAATATTCGAGTAATGTTATTAGATAATTACCATTGTTAGGGGCCTCCAAGATAAACTGAATTTATCATATTATTAAAATTCCAAAAAAAAAAAAATTTAACCGAGTAAAATTGATTGGGCCGGCTGCCATTAGGCCAGTGGATTCATCAATCATCACTCCATCAGTCCATCTGCATTACTAGCTCAATAATTTCCCCAATTTAAGAAGCCCGAGTTGCTAATAGATTTGTAAATTTGACAGATACCTAGAATCCAGATATTGAAATTGATGCCCATTGGACTCAACACTTATCAAGCCCGTCTCCAATGACATTTGTTTACGTGCACAATGCTAGATTGGGCTGCAATAAGAAAATTAAAAGATTTGGATGATCAAAAAGAATGTATTAAAAGATATTAATAAAATTATTGAATAAATACGTCCCAATTAATAATGGTCATCTTTTACTTTCTCCATTTTTTAAAATAATAGTAATTTTTTATTTATTTTAAAATTTATTTTAGATTAATTGTTCATTTTTCTTGTCTTAAAGAAGACATATAAAATCAAGGAAAGATAAAGGGTAAAAGTACATATGCTCCTCCCTTCATATTTGGCAGGTCAGTTAATTAATGCTAAAGATAAAATTAACATATACTGTATATAGGGTCGGTGAGGGATGTCAATAGTCTATAATTAGTACTTGCTACCATTTGATAATCAACCACTTAATGCTAATAAAGATGCATTAATTTGTGATGAAGAAAGTAGCTGCATATGCCTAAACATCATTTATTGTATGTCGGAGCCTTTAGAGAAAAAAGCACTTTTTTAGCACCATTACGTTTTTTTTTTCTTAACTATGAGCGACAATTGTTAATGACTTACGTTGTTTTAGTAATTTTTTTAAAGTAAAATTAAGAATTTTGAGTTAAAATGATATGATTAGTGAGTCAGTTATTTTAATAATTGGAAAAGAATTGAGATTTATTCTGTAACTTCAAATTTTAAAAAAATAAAAAAATTAACGAAGGATATATATTGTCCTTAACTCAGCTTTGTTTAAACTATATGTATTGTATTATTAATAGTTTTTGTAGAGATTTTGTATGAGTGGTTTTCCTAATAAAAAAAATGTAAAATTATGAATTTATAAAAAATAATTACTCTAAAAAAATTTTAAATTTACAAAAAGTCCATCTTACAACGAACAAATTTGAGGCTTCAGATAATTTTGCAGCATCGAAAGTCTTGTTAGAAGTTTGAATCTTAGGCTTTTTCCTAAGAATCAAATTAAGTTGCCGCAACAAAGTAGAGAAATGAATCAGCATAAGTGTCTCTATATATATATATAAATATAACCCTTTTGTTCAAATGCTCTAGAAAGAAATTGACGAGTAAAAGTTTTAATGGGAGAAAATTATGGCAGCCCTATTTTTCTTGGTAGAGACAAAACAAAGGCGACGGGGCTAGAGTGAGTAGGAGCTGTCGTTCTCAAGAGGTAATTAGGTAAGAGAAATTTGGGCAGCGTGAATTGGGGTCATGAGGAGATTTCATTGTCATGTTTCTTTGACATAAAATGTTTATTTGTTTTTCTCTCCTTTTTTTCCTCTCTTGCCTTTTAATCTCTTTTGGCCCAGAAAGGATGACTGACTTTGCAAGAAAACTGTAATTGCACCAAACCAAATGCAAAATTGGGGGAAACAATGTTGTAAATGAAGGTCAAATTTGGTTGCCAGTTACAGGTGATGTGTATGGGATTTGCACAGAAATATTGCCATTTTAATCTCCAAAACTTTTCAGCTTATATCACACAATTAGAGGAGTGGAAATTAAAGTCTCAAAATTTTGAGGGTTTTTTTCGATGTATACAAAAGTAAGTAGTTCAAATATATGACGAAAGGAGGTGAAAGGGGAGAGTACAGCTTTAGACTCTTGTTATGAGAGGTGGATCGGAAAGCTTTTTTTTACTAATAACAATATTTATTCAACATTAACGATTTGTTAATTCAAGTGAAAAGAGGTAAATTTCACTTAAGTAAAATATCGAGTTCGAATCTTATAAATGGAGAAATAAGTGTTAAGAAAGTTTCTCTCCAAATAAGATCTGACATGACTCGATTTTGAATTAATCGGATTCAATATGATTACCAAATATTAAGAGGTTAATATAAAAAAATAAGGCAGAATACTCAAATCCACCCCCAAAGTATAGTGGCAGGGACGGATCTACTCTCGAACAAAAAACAGGGACAAATTTACCCACAAAGTTTTCGACTTAGACAAATCACCCCAAATTTAACGTATGACGTCATTTGACATCAGCAATTCGTTAATTCGTTAACAGATTGCTGACGTCAGATGACGTCAAATTAACAGATTACTAATGTCAAATGACGTCACACATTAAATTTGAAGTGATTTGTCCAAGTCGAAAACTTTGTGGATGGATTTGTCCCTGTTTTTTGTTCGATGGTGGATCTGTCCCTGCCACTATACTTTGAGGGTGGATTTGGGTATTTTGCTAAAAAATAATATTACTCCAACAACGCGAAACTCTACAAAATTTTTAGTTTTTAGCCCCTCACCAACTATAAAATTAATAAATAAGTGGACAAGAAAAAAGAGAAATAATATTAAAGAAAAGAAGAAGGAAGAAGGGATTACTACTTACTAGAGAAGAAGAAAAAGGATTAAAAAAAACATTTTCCTGTGGATATCAGAAAAGAAATCCAGAAACATCAAAGATTCCCAGAAGAAGCCATAATAATTCAAGAAATTGTTGGTGGTTGACAAGAAACACAGAAACAGAGAACTTCTGTTGTTCTGCACCTCTGCATCAATAGAATGAGAGGATCAGATGTGGCGTAGCATGTAATAAGAATTATTCAATACGTAAGCAAATGATAGTACAGTCGTCCCATTACTAATGACATTCACAAAAACTAAACTGTAATTGATATATATGCTACATAGCCCCACAAGCATATATATTTAAAATATTTTAGTATTTAAATTATATTTAATTATAAAATATTAATTATTAAATTTAGAGAGACTCCTTAATCATAAGAGCGTGTCCTTTAATTTAATAATTAGTGTTTTAATCACGGGATTCATTTATATAAAAAAAAGTGTTACACATTACATATTTGATGTGAATGTGATGGCTATGACATGATAGACCTTTGAATTGGATTTTGGAGAGAAATAGGAGTGTCTTTTAAAAAAAAAAAAAGAGAAAGAAAAAAGGAAAAAATAATATAGGGACACGAGTCACACTCTTGTAGACAAAAAGGCATGGAAGTTTCATGTCCATGGTCTGTTTATAGAAAAACTGGTCCTAATACTAATATTACTAGTACTACTTGACGAAAATGTCACGTGTCATGTCGTGTGTACCAGCGATTATGGCATGTGACCGGACCCTTTGAAACATCAAACCTCTGCAGCATTCACCTACCTATGTTCCAAATTAACAAGTACTATCAAAAATACAATTATTTGAGAGATTAGATAGACTTCTATGTTTTGCTTGGTTGCTATATAAAATCCCATTAATTATTTAATCATATCGATCTATCGGTGGAACTATCTAGTGTACATCATGCGGACCTAACCACATAAATTATATGCATGCCCCTAGGAGGTTTCTTAACAAAATTTTAAGTACGACACCTTCTTAATTACTTAAATTCAAAAATGATATAGTTATAATATTATATAAAATTATAAATTTATAATATTGATGATATGATATTAAACTAATAGATACATATTATATTACATATAACATTTTAAATAAAAATAATCAATTATATAATAATATATAATGATTGTAAACTTATAATATTACGTGAATATGGTAATTAGTTAATTGTATTTTATTTTTTTATTTTGGTTGCATAATGAGAGATAACCATCTTTCATCTCTTATTTCATCCCACCTGTATGTTATGCGTTTCGAACTCAAAACTTTTTATTTCTAGTAGAAGAAAATGATTACTGAACTATTTAAGTCGTTGCAATAATTAGTTAATTGTTAGCTAAATCTTAAGTAGCATCACGAGAGACTAATAGGAGGATTGGATGGCAAGTAAGAAGAGAACATCCCGGAAACATAGGAAGGAGAGGCTGACAGGGTAGGAGTGAAATTAAACAGTTAAAACAGTTTTCTGAAAGAAAATAACTTAAATATGTCGATGAAGGAAGGAGTGATTTGGTTGTGAAATTCAGTAATGAAAAAACGTATGAGGGGTGAATTGAAGGACAGGATCGATCAGTTTTTTTGTCCATGTAAATCACTCACATGGTCTTGTGTATTGAGACATGCACATGAAGGCCCACTCTGCTAACTCAAAAACAAACACATTTCTTTAAAGCCCATCTTGAGATGTAATCCCCAACTTGGAACACACATTCAAGCCTTTCACTTAAAAACAGCCTTTCACTTAAAAACACCTAGCCTACTCCACTGCTTTCTCCTATGCACTTGTCTTCTTCGCATCCACCATCACTGTCTTTGTTAATTTTTCTACTCTCTTTTTTTCTCTCTCTTTTGTGGTCCTTCCCCCCCTTTAAATCTCTCTTATCACTTCTTCATTTCTCTTCATCTCTCCTTTTATATCTAACTAATTACCCTCCCTTGGATCCCCTCTCCCCTCCTCCTCTTCGCCTTCCTCTCTTTAATTACCAAAATTTACCTGCATTTCCTCTCCAAATTTCCTCCCATTTGCAAAGATAGATATATATTCTTGAAAAGCAAGCAATATTATAGCTAGTGCTAGATATATTGTTGGAACTGCGTACACTCGGACATTGAGATCGATCATAGTGTTCAAGGATGTCTAGTAGAAGGTCGAGGCAGTCTGGAGTTTCAAGGATCAGTGATGATCAGATCATTGAACTTGTCTCCAAGCTGCGCCAACATCTCCCTGAGATTCGCGAGAGGCGGTCTGATAAGGTATTTTTCTTCTCTTTCTTTTCCTAGCTTCTCTTCAAGGGTATAATGAAGAAGAACAAGAAAAGAAAGTTTTTTCCTATTGGAATTTTAATCCCAGAAAAAGAAAAAAGAATGCAATGACATTGTGCATGTGCAGGAGGAGTAAACACATGTACCCAACATTATAGTCATTTTTTATTATTAATAGTACTGTTTCAAAAAGTTAATTTGATGCTTGACCCGGATGTCATGGGGATCACATTTTCAGATGTTTCAGGTTTTTTCATTTGACTTAAAACAGTTCCATTTCTTTGACCATGTCCTTTTCTTTTCACATACCAATCATTAATACTTCTTCACTTCCTGGCAATGCTAGCTAAATATATTTAAAAATTTCATCTTCGAATCTTTTTATTATTGTTATTATTGATATATAATAACAATGGTGGCCTCTTACAGGTATCAGCTTCGAAGGTTCTACAAGAGACTTGCAGCTACATAAAGAACCTGCACAAAGAGGTGGATGACCTGAGTGAGAGACTGTCCCAGCTGCTGTCCACAATTGATGCTGATAGCGCCGAGGCTGCGATAATTAGGAGTTTAATAATGTAGTACTATATATTATGCTGCCTGAGTAGTAATTTTTACTCTGCTTTTTTTCTTCTTCTTCTTCCTTTTCAGCAAGTAGTATTTTTCTTATTTAATTACTAGGTTTGGGTATAAAAAAGGTCAGACAAGAGGGTTATAGATAATAGTTTTAAGAATGTGTGAACCCATGTGGTTGGGCAATGTAATTAAGTTTGTATTAATAAAGGGGGTACTTGCACTAGCAAAAGCCCCCTTCTTATTATGATATATAGAAACTGATTGCCTTTTAGGGTGTGTTTGGCAATGGCCTTTTGCTTTTACCTTTTGCCTCTGCTAATTCTTGACTTTTTGAAACAAAAAGTTTGGTTTTGATAATGATCAATGAAAAGGGGAATACAACATATTAAATGGTTATTAGTTATTTTCCTAAAGTTAAGTACTAATAACATGATTAATTAATTAGAGCTTATATACATATTGAAGATGAGAAAAAAAGAAAAAACAGAAAGGAAGAAGGAAACTAAAGGATATTGTGTTGATCCCTATTAGCTTTTTGTCGGTAAGTTGGGATCGGTATCAATAATGTCAAGATTTGACGAACACAAATGATCATTATCATTGTTTATACGGTGATTTGATGGAACACTAATTAATTAAATAAATTGTTTTATCCATGATTTATATTTAGCCTTTATATTGTGTTAAGTGTGTTTGATTTGATTTGATTTTATTAATTTATAAATTTTTAAAAATTTTAAAATATTTAATTTTAAAACCTTAAATAATAAATATTAATTATTTTTAAAACTCATACTAAACATACCTTAGACTTCTCTTTGTGTCCAACCTCTTTGTTTCTTGATTATTTATTTAATTATATTATTTTGTCTAATTTAAAATTCTTTTTTTTAATAATATTGAATATTTAAAATCTATTTGACTTAATTATTAATAGAGAATGCATTAATAACTAACCGAACAAATCAAGTATTTAAAATTATAAAAAAAAATTATCACCTATTAATTATAATTAAACAGTAATCTAAGCAGCTACTAATATTTGTTTATACACGCCTTGGAGAAGAGGATGCAATAGACATTTGTAGACATCAACCACCGCCTATTGAATTCTTTATTGTTTCTCTAACACTAAAAGACAAGAATCTTGAAATTACTAATACATTACTTTCACAATAAAAATGAAAATGGAGACCACATTGGAGGTATGCACATAAAAATTGGTTACTTAACCGAAATGGTAGGTAATTAATTATGTATATCGGTCAAAGAGAACTTTAATCCAAAGCTAACAAGTTAATCAAACGGTAAACGGCATTGATCGATGATTGCTTAACGAACACAAGTCAATTCCGGGTTAGAGAAAATAAGGATTAGGTTTAAGACTCACTCAAAGCATGCATGGAGTAGTGTTTAGAATATAATTATGATGGAATTTATATAATTAACCACAACCCACGAGAAAGGAAACCAAATCATAAAAAATGAGTAATTTGAAAATTTTGTGCGCCCTTGGCCTTGGGGAAAAAATTAAGTCAAGAAATAATATTATATTTTTTTTTCAGTCTTGTTTGAGATCAAAAGTAGTCTCGTTCAAAGTTTAAATTCTCCAAAAGGAGCCTAAGTTTACGCCTCAATCCCTCTCTGCAGCCTCTGTAGCTTTAAAAGCCAGATTACCAGACCATTAGGGTCTTTATGGGTTTTGATGTTCAAAGCAAGATTAAAGATAAATATTAAATGAGACAGAGAATTAAAGAGAGAAACCCTAACCTAGGAATTCTAGGTGTTGTAATTTAATGAATCAAACATCAAATTATATTTATTAAAATGAAAACAGGAAAAAATATGCATCTTTTTTTCTCCATAATTAATAAAATCTTTTTGAAAAAACAGTTTTTTTTTTCTTTTTTCATGATATTCAATTTCCTAATAACAATTTATGTTTTCTTTCTCTCTTTTTTGAGTTACAAACCATTTCAATCATTATACAACCACTAATCACAGTAGTTCAAGTTAAGTTGACCATAAAATCTTAAAGAGCAAATCAGGTTAGTTGTCTT